TATATATATATATATATATATATATATATATAAATTTTACATGTACACTCTTACCTCTTTTCCACTCTTATCTATTTCAGTAGGTAATTTTAATTATTTTAGTTTTACATTATTTTATTCTCCCATCCTCTTTCATTTTTTTTTCACTATTATCTTCTCTCTCCTTCCTTTTAGTTTGACACGGACCCATAATGTATAACTAGTTTTCAACATTTTAGGTGTGTGTGAATTTTATAACAATGTCGAAAGTGTCGAGACAAATGTATATTTTTTCTTCAAGTACCTCTCCCATTTATGTCTAGAAAACACAACATCAAATAATTTTGGTGTCTTAGAAAATACTTTTCAGAATGGGAAAATTAACGTTATGGAAACCATGTTTTAAAATTAAGTTTTAAACATACTTCCAAAAAGAACTTTCCAAAACTATAAATTTAGTGTTTCATAAAGTACTTTCCAGAATTATGTAAAACAATATACTTTGGAAAAGTACTCTTTGAAACATCAATTTTACTGTTCCAGAAAATATTTATCGAAAGTTAGTTATTTTACATAATTCTATAAAGTTCTTTCCGGAACAATAAATTTAGTATTCCGGAAAGTACTTTCCGGAATTATGTAAAACAACATATTTCTAAAAAAGTACTTTGTGGAACATTAACTTTACTATTCTGGAATGTACTTTCTAGAAATGTGTTATTTTATATACTTACAAAAAAATACTTTTCGAAACATTAAATTTATTATTCCATAATCTACTTCCCGGAAGTTTGTAAAAAACACAATTATGGAACACTAATTTCACTATCCCGCACAATAGTCCAAAATAGTGAAAATATCTTATGTGTCTAGTTCGATAGAAACTGCCGTAAAAGCCGCATGTACTTATAATATTGTCACGTACCAATTCTACGACTTGGGTGCATGTGAAAAAGTGAAAGAGTTGAGGAAAGAAGAAAGTAATGTAAAAATCAAGAAAACTAAAACTACCTACTAAAATAGATGAGAAATTGAAAGAAGACAAAAGGGAGCATGTAAAAACTGAAAGAGAAAAAGAAGGAAGAATATGAAAAAAAAGACAAAAGTAATAAATTAAAAGTTAAAAGTGTAAAATTAAAAAAAATAAAAAATAAAAAAATTATAAATATTCTAAAAATTTATTTTAAAATAAATAAATAAAAGAGATGTAATTATTAAAAAAAAGGGTGAATATATCATGAGCCGTATCTTCTTATATCGTCTATAATCAGGATAATTCTACATTTCACATTTGGGCCAACTATGAATGTCAACCAGGCAGCTACAGTAATATTCTCTACATTTCTTTGCTATCCTCCTTATTACGTAAATATCCTCTCTACTCATTTCTATATTTGCACGAGCATTTGTTAAACATGTATTTGTGAATTATTTTAATATTTAAAAATATTCATGAATATTTATTAAAATAATTAACATAAAAATCTAAATAAAATTAAATTTGCATTAATAAAAAATTGCACATAAAATTAGACAAAAAAAATCTGCATTAATACAAAATTACACATAAAATTAGACAAAAAAAAAACTGCATAAAATAAAATCTATATAAAAGTATGCATAAAATAAAATCTGCATTAATAAAAAATTGCACATAAAATTAGACAAAGAAATCTGCATAAAATATAATATATATAAAAGTAGGCATAAAATTAAATCTGCATAAGTAAAATTTATATAAAAAAACCCACATAAATAAAAAAAATACATAAAACTCCTTAACAACATATATTCTAAAAAAAATCACATAACTTAAGTAATTTAATATTAACAAGTGTCTACAAATATAAATATTATATTACTCGTATCTATTATCACATTTACTCATTAATAATATTTATTTTTTACTCGTAATGAATTTATTTTGTCATCTTTTAAGATCAATTGTACCCAAGAAAACTTGTTGTGTTATTAGCAATTTTAATGCCTGATTCAGCAGGTGTGGCTAAGTGACATTTATGTGATCAAGGGGTAGTTGAGAATTTTGCTTTAAACACAGAATTAATAGACATGTCCGGGTTAATGAAGATGGAATTAATGGCAGAAGACAAATTTTCAGATATGAAATAGTCACATTAGAGTCGATTTGATGTGCACGTAAAGCTGCTGCAATATGTCATAAAATAAATAAATAATAAAACTGTTGTAATAATTGGTTGATACTATCACTAATGAATGGCTGAAGTTGTTTCCTCGTGTCAAATTGTTATTTCTTGGGAATTGATATATATATCTAGTTACTAGTTATTGTCATTAATTTTATTTTTCTATAATCGGTGGTGGTAGTATTAGTTTTCCAAATTGAATTGCCTCAGAAAATGACAAGGCTGCTTGTAACAATCGATGTCACGTTTGGAATTTGGATGGAGAAACCCCAAAGATAGAATACTCCTTACTCTTTATTCTATTTTTTCTTTTCATCTTTATTTCCAATCAAATTGCACCGAATTTATCTGTTGAGTTGAACTGGTAAAGTGGTAATAGTTAAATCGGAACCAATTTTATTTAATTTTCAGGGTGGTATATTTTACGAAAAATGATAATACAAATATATATATATATATAAACAAACGTGCTTCTATTTATACATACAAAAATGATTGTCCAAACTCCAAACAACCACTTAATGAAAAAAAAATGTTGTGGGCATTTCAATTTAGTTTTGTAATCTGTTAAACAACGATGTCCCTAAAATAAGGTAAGAAAGAAACCGCATGCGAATGAGAAAGAAGCGAAACGACGTCGTTTGGGAGCCGTATATATAAAGTTGAGTTCATTCGAAGATATTTCGTCGCCCCCATTTTATTAATTATATAATCATTATTTTAGCGAGTAAATGAGAGTATAATTTTAGCTTTTTTCTTTTTAATTTTGATTTTGGCATCACAGAAGGCCTCAGAGAGAAAGGAGAGAGAGAGAGAGAGAGAGAGAGAAAGAAAAGGTTGTGTTTCTGTCTGGGTTTTGGAATTTTGAGCCCCCATCAAAGCCCCCATTTGAAAGGTGGAAGCTTTAGCATTCGGATCGCGTAATTGGGGTTTTGCACATCGGTGGTGGTTTTGTTTGTTTGGATGGCGAATCTGTACGTGAAGGCGGTGCCACCGGCGGATCTGAACAGGAACACGGAGTGGTTCACTTACCCCGGCGTTTGGACCACCTACATCCTCATCCTTTTCTTTTCTTGGATCCTCGTTCTCTCCGTCTTCGGTTGTTCCCCCGGCATCGCTTGGACCATCGTTAATCTCGCTCATTTCGCTGTATCTTCCTTTTCTCTTTTCCTTTTCATTTATCATCATCTGCTTTAATTAATGCTTTCAATGTCTTAAGGGCGTGCCGGATTTCTTATCTCTTATCATGCAATTTCATTGTCTTCCCTTCAAACTGATTTTCCTCGCTGTTCCTCTGATTTACTGTTTCACCTTGCTTTTTCTCTTGTCGAGGGTGAGGCTGGCCCCAATTCCTACTTTGTGTTGCCACCGATTTTCTTATTTTATGGATTGGTTGTTAGTTTTCTTCTTATTCTCGTCTGGCTGGGATGTTGGTTACCGGGAATGTGGAATTACGCGTTGAACGTTCTGGACAAGTTTTATGAGTTTGTTAAGAATCTGTGTGTTAACTATTAAGAAAGTTGGGCTTATCCTGTTAATCTTTGGCATTGGTATTTGGGTCTTAAAACATATCTTGTTCACTAATCAATGAACATTGCGTATGGTGAAGCCAAGGGAAATATTTGGTTATTAGAATATTTCACAATTGGTTTGTCGTTCCCATTTCCATGGCCCCATCGTGTTCTAAACTTTGTTTGATAAATGTTTATATTATTATATCAGACGTATGCTCACCACAGCCCCACCTCCTCTTTCTTTTCTACTTCCCCTCTGCAAGATGCATAAGCACACTTTGGTCTTTACTTGTTCTGGTCTCTTCCTGAACCATTGTTTGCCTCGCTTAGTTTAGAAAGACATTGAGACAGTTAGAGGATTTGCTTGGAAAAGTCCAAGGATTCCTGTATGTCTCTAAATTTCCTTGCCTGCTCATGATGGTCTGGCTTTGCTCCAAATTGCTGGCCATAAGTTCGTTTTTTGTCTTAGTTGTGAACTGTTGGCCTTCTACAGTATGAATAATTCTAAGAGGAACATTTTGTTTTCGTGAAGAGGTGGAGTGCCAACTGTTTCTTAAATATGTTAAAAGAAGATGAATGTGGGGTTCTGGGAAATAAGGCCATAGAACAGGCTGGGAGTCGTTTTTGATCTTTGCTTCCTCTTGATTCAATTAATTGTTGTGAATCTTGAACTATATTTGTTTTTATTTTACTGTACTTGGACACATCTTCCTTTCCAATATTCAAAATTATCATCTTGTTTTTCCTTTGTTTGACTCTAGAAGTATGCCAGTTCAGGTTTCATGGTGCCTTTTAAGGTGTGGCCATTCCTAAAAAGTATAATATTAGTTTATTTCTTATCATCAAACATTTTTCCGAGGTTTGGAACAAAGTGTTTGTCACTTTTTTTTCTCACACTTTTGGTTTTTGGGTGGAGGTTATGTCTTTCAATCAAAAACATATTAACATAATTCTTGGGGAACCCATTTTTTGCTCATTTATTACTTTGTGATATAATGGTTTTTTTTACTTATTATCACAATTGAATCAGGTTATAAATTAATATTTTGTTTGTAAGTTATTGTTAATGAATGTTAAAAGAAATTAATATCTCTACATGGCTTAATTGATTATGCTGTGTTCATCAGGTAACATATCACTTTTTTCACTGGAAGAAAGGAACTCCATTTGCAGAGGACCAGGGGATCTATAATAGATTGACTTGGTGGGAGCAGGTTGACAATGGAAAGCAGCTTACTCGTAACAGGAAGTTTCTAACAGTTGTCCCTTTGGTGCTGTAAGTTCTCTAATTTGCATGCCATCATTTTCAGATACAATGGTATCCGTTTCTGCCTTTCTGGTGATGTCATAGGGTCTATGAATGTGTGTTTGTATGCACCCTTGTCATATAAATGTTAAGTTGTTAACATTATTCGTTAAAATATTGTTTACACTTTACACTGATGTGGACAAATGTATGTGGCATTCTTGGTAATGCCAAATATTGGAAGCATTTTATACTGTTTTGGTTATCAACTTCTTGTGGTGCTCGAACTTGGTGCCAAATAGTGGTCCTATATTGCACAAGCTGCAAAAGTTGAATAGCCACAATTTAAAGTAGCGTCTGTCACAGCTGTTGTGGAGGACAAAATTGCCGAAAGTCACTGCTGGAGCGAGTGTTATTGGAGTGTGTTACCAGAAACCTGTTTTATCTATGAAACAACATTGTTTAGGGGGTAAATTCTAGATTTTGCTCTCCTGTGAATCAGAACTGAAACTCTACTTTGTCAGTCAGTTGCGCACACTTTGTTAAGAAATAGTACCTACTGTTATCCTTTCCTAAAAACACCACACTTTGATTAGAATGACTGCCATCCCATTATCCTTCTATAGCATTTTGGATTGACAGCTGTGATTCAATTTAATAGATTTTCTTTTCTTCAAAAACATGTTTTTTTGGGGGGTACTGTATTAACTATTGGTTGAATTAGACTCTCCCTTTCTCTCATTGTGTGAGCATGTGTGCCACTCAACTATGATGTAGCTTAATAAGTTGCATGCATTTGGGATTATGATTGTTTGTTTAGGAGTTCTCGATACTTGAAGGTTATATTTGTATGCTTCATGTCAATTGTACTATCACAATTCCGCAAGCAATTACTAGAAAACAGGAATTTGTTTTAAAAAAAGGAAATATAAGAAAAGAACAGCAAAGTAAAATGACTACATATGAAAATTTCTGCACAGCTCTACATCGTTCAATTATGATCTGTGGTAATTGTGCTCTTCTTGAACTTCGTCTATGTCGCTGGATTGTGTCTGCAATCAGGTATTATTTTCCAAGTACTAATCATTTCCGAACATGCACTAAAAGGGTACACCGTACACCCATCTTGTTTTCTACAACTGAGAATTTCAAAAGCAGCAGTTGCTGTTTATGGAAATGATTAGGACTTCAGCAAGAGGATTGTATGTGTGCAGCTTTGCTATGGTTCATACTTCATATATCATTCTCATGTCTCAAACTTTAATGTTAAATTTTACTGCAAAGGTGTAAAACTCGCAGTGTTGTGTTACTAAATATTGGATTATATAGAGTCAACGAGACCATAAGCATAGTGTATTAAAGATGAGGATGTTATAGTGGATGAGAAGAAAAAGATATCATGAATGAAAGTTTTAGAGAGAAAGTAAGGCTAACATCTATTGAGGAAAAATGGTAGTATCTCGCCTAAGGTGGTTTGACCATGTGAGAAAACCAAATGAGAGATAGGAGGCCAAGAAAAAAGTAGGGCGAACACCTATTGAGGAAAATACGATAGAATCTCCCCTAAGGTAGATCCAAATGGACTTGCTGAGAATTTAGCTCTTGACATAACAATATTTTTGTTTAATCCATGTAGCTGATCCTATTTAGTGGGGAAGGGCTTGTGTAGTAGGGTTTAGGGCTTGTGTAGTAGGTTTTGTAAGTTTGTCTAACTTGAGAACTTAGATAAAACTAAACTCACGAACTAATAAGAGACTTTTAAAAGTTATTAAGAAACATGAATAATAATAACCAAACATAATTAAGTAACATAGGCATAATTAATATCAAGATTACGACTTTTTAACATAATAAAGTTTTGTTCAACACCTCAACTGGACAACTAATCTTGTAATTGTATCTTGAAGATGAAGAAACTTTGTATATTGTGATGGGTAGAGAAGTGTCTATTTTGGAATGGCCTAATAATTATTTGGTGTTTTGTTTTGTATATTTGGTGACTGTCAGGTACTTGATAGCCTCACACACAACAGACTATCAGAATCCAATGCTGTTCTTCAACACAGTGGCTGTGATTGTGCTGGTTGTGGCAAAGTTCCCCCACATGCATAAGGTCAGGATATTTGGAATCAATGCTGATAAGTGAAATCATGGTTACCTGCTCAAGAGCCTCTTCTCTTGTCCTTTTGTTCTGGAAAAAAAAGGTGTATAGAAGGCAGAATCGGAAGGATACTCAAGTAATGTTCTGTTGCCAACTGCTTCTAAAGTATTATTAAACAAATAATAAATATGTTGAGTTATTTCTGTACAGTAGAGAAGTATATGTATCGGATTATAACGGTGCTTCTAAAATGTACCTCTCTTTTCCCCTTTATTTCATCCCTCACAACTCAAATATACAACAACGATGATCTTTTGCGTTTGCATTAAATTTTGTTGCCATAACTTTTTCTTATGGAAATAAAAGTCCTTTAATCTTTATCATAACCAAAAATTGAACACTTACATTAGACGTCACCTGAAATGGTGAAAATTGGCAAAAGAAAAAGGAAAGTGAAGACTTTGCGGTGTGAATGTTGTTGTGGAAATTTGCAAACCGGAACTCACTGCGTTGAAACTTTTGCATGCCGTTACTTTTAAGTAGCCATATACCCATATTATCGTAATTTATATATTTTTCTGAGTTATGCTTCAATTCACTGAGGTTTTAAGTTATATTTCTGTTATGTAAAAATAATAATAATAAAAGATTGAGTTATTCCTTGTAATAATAATTAGCAATTTCTTTTTTATAGATTAAGAAGTAAAATTTACTTTTGGTATGGAAATAGTGTAATACAACTAATAGTCGATGTTTTAGATTGCAAAGTTGGAATTGGTAATGTACTTTAGGCCCAAATTTGAATATTCTGCTTCATGATCTCAGATTCAACTTGAAAAGTGGAAGGCTTATTTATGAGAATGTTATACAAGCAAAAAGTCAGCATTTTCAAAATTATTTATTTTAAAAATAATTCTACATATTATCGAAGAAATCCTGTAGCTGTCTCATACTAGCTGCAGGACCATTGTTGTATTCCATTTTTCTTCCCTCCTTGATTCAAGTTTATCCTATTTTAAAAGATTAACTTGATCCACCTCTATTTTTTTAGGGAATAAAATAATGTCTTATTCGAGATTTAATGTCAGTTGGTCTCCTATAATGCATTTAATGTGTCATGTTTTGGTTAATGTTCAGTTGCAAAAGTTAATGTAGGAACTTGGAAGAAAATTACTTTTCAATTAGTTTTTTACGAACGTATTTGATAGTCTGATCTTTTATGAATTAATTTGATCAACCTTTTATCCATTAGAGGCTAAAATAGTATAAATTTTTTACCTATTATGACATTCTTTGTGATTAAAAGATTTCAAAATATGAATAGGATTTCTTTACTATATATATATATATATATATATATATATCTCGGAATCCAGGTATTAAATAGCATTTTTTTTTATTTAGATCATATCTTTTTACATTGGAACAATGAATATTCTGTCTGAGTTGGAAATACTTATAATACGGTAAGGTAAAAATTAAAATTTTTCAACCGGATTTTTTTTTATATAAGCAGGACTTAAACTTAAGGCTTTCCTTAAGAGAAATCAAATCACTTTAGTTTTATATTTTAAATATTTTAATTGTATTTATAAATTACTTGTATAATGTATGAAATACTTAGTTCTTTTTTTTTTCTTTCTTTATTACATAAGTAACTAAAATCGTAAGAGTGTCAATGAAAAAGTCGTCTCATTTCTTAACTCTACCCAATTATAGAAAAAATTCAGTTTTCTTCATTATTTTAGTTAATACTCGAATTTCTTTAATCAATATTAAGCAAGATATATTTTATTAACTAAACTAGTCTTTGATAATTTGTAAAATTATACGACATGTATTTTTATTTTATATTTTTATTATCAATCGAAAATTTCCTCTTAAATATGTTTAAGTTTATATTTTATTTTACTTTTCTCGATTATTCATATATATATATATATGCACATATAGAACTTGCTATTTAATATTTATCACTTGCATTTTTCCCTTCTCTTATAGTTTTACTTAAATGTTGATTTTTTTTTTTTTTACGGTATTCACTTTAACCAAACATTTGTATTCGTTTTCGAATGCTAGTTCTAGTTTATTTATTCATTTATTTTATTTCAAGATTCTGTTAACGAGTACTCTACAAGCATGGTCAAGAAACTCATAAATAGATTTTTTTAATAAAATAAATAACAGTAAAAATACATTGCTGATATTAAATATTACACTTTCTTATACCTACTAATTAAGATTGGCCTACTAATTGAAAATTTAGCTAATTTATATGAAATTTTAAGTTAAAACTTCATTTACAACTCCCTTCCTTTTACTGCATTCACTTAATTGTATGATAATAAATTTACAGATCTATTCATGTGAATAACACACAAGAATTGACATTTAAAGTGAATATTAAAATGAAGAATAATTGATAAATATTGATAAAATTAGTAAAAAAAAATTTAAATAAGGTTAATATGTTCGGTTGTTAATAACTAAAGAATATAAATATAAAAGAGTTATTATTATTATTATATTAAATTGTAAATTGATAAAAAAAAGAGAGTTAAATATAGATGAAAAACTACAAATTTGTAGCTCAGTGTTTATATAAAATTGCATGATTTAGTTTGATTTTTCGAATTAGGTTATGAAATCGTTTCAAACCAACTCAAACTGCATTTATTTGTAAATATGTTTTTTCAAATGTATAATGTATATATGTATACAAAATTGATAAATAATATAAAAGGCATTTTATAAAATTATAAGCTATGTTAAAAGATCTTTTTCTCTCCAAATATACATTATAATACTTAAAAGGTATTTTATAAAATTGAAAGTCACTAAATTAAATTTTAGAATGAAAAATTATAAATTATTTATAATTTTTGCAAATATTTTTTTAAGTGACAAACTATGTATGAGTAAAAATATTTAATATAATAATTAAAATTAAGTAAATATTTTTACAAAAATAATATGATAAAAATTGGTATTAAATATATTAAGTGATCGAAATATATATTTTAGTATTTATATATTTTTAGTTTTATTTTTAACGTATAATCTTAAATAAATAACATAATATTACCTTTGTAGTTGAATTTTTAATAACAAATTTTAAAAATCACAAAAGCAAAACCAAACCAAACTCTAAAAGGTTAGTTTGATTTGGTCCAAATTTCATAATTCATTAAAATCAAACCAAATCGAACTATACTTAATTTTTTTTTTGTATGGTTTAGATAACTTTTTAGGCAAAAATTGAACCAAACCATTAGCGAACTGTAACATTATCAATTTCATAACTTCGGGTTGTTTAATTGACAGGTGCTGTTGAGAGTTTTGGGGCTGAAAAACCCTGAGAACAAGTTGATCTCAAGAATGTTGAATCAGAAATAAGGGGAGTTAGCTCAGGAAGGTATAGAAGGAAGTTTTTTTACTTGAGCGCTTCATAATTCAAGTTTTTAAAAGTTGTAGAAAAAGGCTAGAGAGAAATTCACTATTCCTTCTCCCTTTTTTCTTCTTATTCTCACTAGGAAACCTTCCTCTTTATCCATTCTTCAGCCAAATTCTAGTTAGAGAGAGTGAAGATTTGAGATCCCGTGATTGAAACTTCAAGCTATAGGTGTGCGAAGTTGCTTCCTTCTCTTGTGGATTGATTCTTCAAGAGGTAAAGGAAGCTTGTGTTGATTTTGTGGAATTACATTTGGATAATGTGCTGATTGATTTCATTGTTGTTGATTTTTATGATGAGAAGGAAGGAGTAGGGAAAAGATTTTGAGTTAGAAAGGTTTGAAAGAGTTGTAATGATTTTTGGAGTTTAGGGGTTGCATGTTGTAAAGGAAATTATTTTTGAGTTGCTTGTGATGCCTAAATATTGTATTGTGAAATGCATGTTTAAAAAGTTATGGTTTTCAGGTTGAATGACTGCAATCAGGTTCTGCATAAGTGCAAAACCTGATATCGCGCCGGACGCACCTTTAGAGTGTCGAGTGTGACTGCAAAGAGAGGTTTTTGTCTTACTCACGTTGGGCATATGACTAGTGGTGTCAGATGTGAGGAGAGAGACTCGTCTCGAGTTTGAATCACGTCAGGTGTAAGTTGAATGACATTGAGCAAGAGGAGAGAAACTCGCCTCTATCTGAGTTCACGTCGAATCCTAGTGTGTGTGGCACTAGGCGTGAGTCAAGCAAGGAGCTCCCTACCTAATTGGAGCCAAGCATGGGTGTTGCCACGCTAGGCAAGAGTGTGGAGCACTCTCTACCTCAATCACGTCGAGCACAAGTGGTGCAACGTCAAGTGTAGGTAAGACATGAAGCTCCCTACCTCAATGGTATACGAAGTTAGGGGCTTAGTTCACGATTGAGTATTGGAGAGTTGTGATATTTGGATGATAATTGGTGGACTAATTTCATAGGGAGCTTAGTATTACAAGTTAATGTCGTAGTAGACCCATATCCAAATTATTCTATCTTGACATAATACCATACTTTCTAGTTTAAGTTAAGTTTATTTTGCAATTAGTATTGTATATATAGCAAGTATGTACTTAATACTAGATATTGACTACAATATAAACTCTAGTTCTGATGCATATTGTTTAGTCTTCCAAGGTGTGATAATTGTTCAGTAACAAGTGTAGTGATCTGTTAGATCGTTACATAAGTTCCTCTAATATCATTTACCTAATTTAATTTTCATTAATCATATATTTTAAATGGAGACCAAATTTTATTTATTTATTTTTTTCAAAACGAAATTACAATTTTCATCATAACTTCTTATTTTCAATCTTAAATCATCTTTCTCAATATTTAAAATTTTAATTTTACTTCTATTTTTTTTACATATTCTTCTAGTATTAAGATGTCTGATAAATAATATTTAAAAATAATAAAATAATTAAGTTATAAAACCACATGAATAAAGTCTAAATTTCATATATTTTTAAAATAAATCAAACTTGTAGTTTTATTTATTTAAATAAATTAATTAAATTTAAGAAAATTTGTTTTTTTGTTTGTTTTTTTTTACGAATTAAAACCCGAGCTAGTAAAAAATAAGTGACACTTAAAACAAATTTACAAATTTTGAGTGAATATGTAACGAGCATAAGGCTAAGGAGGGGAACCATCCCTCAAAAGCCGGCCCAAGAGGTCAAAAGCCGGCCCAAGAGGTCAAAAGCCGGCCCAAGAGGTCAAAAGCCGGCCCAAGAGGTCAAAAGCCGGCCCAAGAGGTCAAAAGCCGGCCCAAGAGGTCAAAAGCCGGCCCAAGAGGTCAAAAGCCGGCCCAAGAGGTCAAAAGCCGGCCCAAGAGGTCAAAAGCCGGCCCAAGAGGTCAAAAGCCGGCCCAAGAGGTCAAAAGCCGGCCCAAGAGGTCAAAAGCCGGCCCAAGAGGTTGGAGAACCTCCCGCCTTATAAGGCCTCCCTGGTAAGGAGACCTCCCCGATGTGGGACTTGTTACAGAATACTTTACATTAAATGAGAGATTTATACTTTAGGGTTTTTTTTCTTACACGTGTGTTATTTTTTCTTTATAAAAACTAATATCAAATACATTTTTCTGTTGGTAAACTTGAAGTTCGTGTTTCTGTTGTCTTATCCTTGAGGACCTTGATCATCACTGATTAAAGCAAAACTCTAAATCCTCCGTCATTAAGATTTATTGTACACCCTTAACTTCACCCTTTAATACGTTATATTTTTAAGTTTAATTTCATGCAAGAATAATTCTCGTGATGGAATGATTTTTTAAGCGTTTATTAGTTTTTTTTTTTCATCAGTAAAAATAACGATGAACTAACAAAATTTGAATTTAAAAGCCGATACATACTACTACATGTATTATTTATGGAAGTAGCTACGTACGGTACCCTCTAGAAATTTTAGTAAAGTAGTTTCTAGACCATGTTACATAAGTTCTCAAATCTGTTAAATAGCAAAACAAATGAAATAACTTCATAATGAAAGCTTATAGTAAAAACTAATGACATATTTTTTACCACCGACTTTGGCACCTAGTGGTATTTCAAGGTATTCTCACAAATTTTGTTCCTTTGGACCGACTATGGGACTCTTCACCCTCTCCAAGAGTGTATTTTGCGAAAAAAAAAAAAACTAATGACATAACTTAATTTCTCATAATATATTAGAGATTTTGTTACGGCAGATTTTAGACCAACAATTGCATAATTTCTCAATTTCCCTGAATCCATGCTAAATAGCAAAATCAAATGGCATAACTTCATCAAATGAAAGCTTACATAACCATTAGTCCAAAAAAATTAAAATTTACTAACCTCTTTTGAGATCTTTTTAAATGATACACATATTTCTTTTCTAATTTTTAATGAAATACTAACATCTCTTATTTATTTATTTAAGTGACACGTATAACATGCTCTTATATAAAATCAATTGTGCATTATTAGAAAATAACAAATTATTAATAGAAATATTAATAATAAGATAAAATTTGACTTCTTATTTAATTTTAATTTTTAAATTATATCTTAAATATTATGTGTGTTGTGATTTTAAAAAAAATACCAATTTCAAGTGATAATGTCGGTGTGAGAGATTATTATTTTCAAAATTAAAGAAAAATAATTTTTTTTATAAAAAGAAAGATGATTGTACATAATTCAAAAATGAATGATAGATATATATATAATTGATATAATATGAATTAATTTTTTTTCCCTTTCTTCCACCGTAGCCAATGATACTATTTTAAAGAAGATAAAGAATTTTTAAAATTTAAAGGAGAAGTGTGTATCATTTAAACAAAGCTTAGGAGAAGTGAGTAAATTTTTCTAAAAAGTATCTATACCAAACCCCAAAAATTATCAAGGTAGTACAGAATTTCTCATTATCTATCCTATGACATTTAAATAAGTTTAATGAAGACTTTTATGTCATTTTTTTAATCCGTAGGAATTGAACTCGATAAGAGATTACAACAACTTACATATTGTTCATCAATTGAATTAAACTCATTCAGTAGACTTTTACGTCGTTTGATAGTTATATTTTAATACATCTGGAGGTTTTAATTAATTATTTTAACAGACTAGTATATTTGTGCCACAAACTGCTCTTATATACTTTCGTAAATTATGCCATCAGTTTCAAGATCGGTAAGCAATCGTGGAAAAAAAACATTTTGAATTTCAAAGATGAATTTATACCCCGAGAAGAAGAAAAAGGGAATATTATAATTAAGAGATTGGCGTAAGAAGAAGGCCAACACATGAGGAATGGTATTTTGTCCCCCAATGGAACTGGCTGAAAGTGAAAAACACAACAGAACAAGATAAAAAATTAAAAAAAAAAAATTACTATTTAATGAATCGTCCACATTTGAATCCAATCCATTGACCTAGCCAGTGGAAGAAACAGTTTCCACTTGCCCCAAGGGAATGTTTGAGGGCCCCATCTAGAATACCGAACGAAGTTGTGCTTTTCAGAATTTTCTTAGTCCTTGCAAATACTATAATTAACAGCAGGTGGATGCATGACATAGGACACACTCATGGAATTGAAGTCTTTATTCAAATTAAATTAATTAAACTGCAAGTGGATGACAAATATATTGTTATCAGGTTAGTATATTTAGTTGGGGCAGGTAATCCAATTTTCAAGATTTGTCTAATTATATGCTCTTACTATTATATATAGTAATACATGTAATTAATTAACTATTTGTTTTATTAATTGTAGCTTGCATTAAAGGTGGGGTGTGACATTAATACCTGATCCAGCTAAAACACTGAGATCATAGAACACTCCCTTGTCCTTCCTTTTCAGTTTTCTTTTACTATAATTCCTCCGAATAATTCCACCAAAGTGCTTTCATAGTTGGAAGAATCTCAGATGTGATAATGTAGACAACAAAGCTGACAATCCACTAATTTTTGCACAGACAGAGATAGAAAGAGTAGCTGGAAAGAGCACAAAGCAACTCAACCAAATTTATAATTATGGTTACACTTTCAAACTTAGAACACCTAATCAACTCTCTCTCTTTCATCACCCCAAAAGTTCTTTGAACCAAACCTTTGAAAATTCATACGTACAAATGAAGGCGATCATCTGCTTAATTGTCATAGAAGAATTCATGAATACAGGAATTGCATGTGCCATGGACAAAAACAGGCCCAATATTCACTACCTCTTCTTCTATGTCTATATATATTTATATAGAAAAAAACTAAAGACGACCGAGATGAGATGTAATGTAATAAAATCCTCACGTTCTCTCAAATAAACAAAGGCGGTGTGTACAAAACAAAGTAAATAATTAACCATGTGTGTCCTATTGTTAGTTCTGAACAACTTCAGGCAAATGATATCCATGTTGTGGTGGAGAGATAAAAATTGCGAAGATCAAAATAAAGAAGATATATATAATATATATATATATAGTGTTATTAATTAATGCATGTTGATCTCTTAATTTTCCTTTGTCTTCCCATTTTCTTTCTTACCATGTTCCTTCACCAATCATTCCACTCCAATATCCAGTTGAATTGCCTTGTTCTTTATTGTGTTCCACTTCAGCACCTGAAGCAGAAAGTTGCTTGACATCTCCAAAAGGGAATAAAACCCTTCCACCACTCCTCTCTTGGACCTGATGATCATATGACCTATTTCCCATGCCATCAACTGAAGGAGCAAAGCTGAGGCTTGGTTTAACTTCTTGCATGGGAAACCCTGATGGGTAAAGGGCATTGTTGTTTGTTGAGTTTGGGATCAAGGAAGAAGGAGCATAAGGGTTCAAACCCCTAGATGCCATGCTGGACCTTAGAAGCTCTAGGGCTGAAAGAGAAGCTGGAGGAGCAGAACAAGAAGAAGAGGTTTGGTGTTGGTGGTGATGAGTGGTGTCACTGTTGTTCTGCTGCTGCATCTCAACATAAGGGGGCATGCCATGATGGTATTTGTCCATAGATGGGAAAGCCAGGTTGAGATCTTGGCCTCCATGCATGATTTTAGGGTTTTGGGCTGAGACTGATGAGAGGTTTGGTGGGTTTAGGTCTGGAACCTTTGATGATGATGATGATGATGAAGTTGCTGAAGTTACCTTCTTATTCTTCCTAGAACCACCTCCAACTGGAACGTTTCTCAGGGACCCTCCTTCTGTCCAATACCTTCTACAAGTCTTGCAGAAGTATCTGGGTTGTGTGAGGCTGTAGTTGTTGTAGTAGCAGAACTTGGTGTTGGTTGAATTGCACCTTGGACAATTCAGTTGCTCTTGTGGCCTTGCTTTCTTCTCTAAAACTGGCCTGGCACATGAATTCGGAGCCATCCCCTCCATGACTCTAGAGCACACCTATAGTTATAAGTGTTCATATGTGACAAGAATCCATGCCATACAAAAACAATTCAAGAGCTATGGCTAGTGAAATGTTTTTTTAAGATAGTTACCAACAAAATCAAAGCAAGGTAGCAAGGCTTCCTACCAAGACAATTGTAAAGTCAAGAAAAAAAAATATGTAAAGGAATCAAATCAATAATCAATAATAATAACAGATAGTATCTTTTTTATTTTTTGAGTTCTTTAACAAATGATCATACACGAGCAAAAAGGTGAAGGGGAAGAAAAGGAAAAACAGTGTTTTTGTATTTAGGATTTGATCAAAAAACTTGTTTTGGTAGAAAAGGAGAGAAGTTGGAATGTCAATATATGTGGACCTTGAAGTTACCATGAAAATCATCTCCTATAGATATATATATATATATATATTGCTAGAAAAAGAATTAAATCAAAGATACAAACAACTCTTAAATCTAGTTGATATTGTGTCAGCTTTTGAACAACTACCCCAAAACCCAGAATAAATAACTCAGAATTGTGCTTCAAAGAAAAGGCATGAGAAAAAACCACACCACCTTTGGCCACAGCAGTAGCTATAGCCATGAAATTCAAAGAAAAGAAAGAGAAAAGTAAAGGATGATTTGAGAGAGAGAGAGGAGTTCACCTTGTTTGTCAGTAACTGCTCCTTAGTGCAAGAAAGAATGTTTTGGTTCGTTTGTGGGGTGGCTTTATGCGTAGGCTTACTTTATGAATGCTACAAAGATAAAGGAGAAAGCGAAAAGAGAGAAGAGAAGTGTCTGGTTTGACTACACTATCAATATCTCTTCACTAATCACCCATGTTTTAGCCTTTATCACTCACTTTATTTTAATCACTTTTTTTTATCCTTACACGATATTTCTGACTTACTAAATTGGAGATTAATTTTCTTTACATTATTGTGACCGCTATATGATGTGATAAGTTTTTACATATAACAAAAATTAAACACAAAATTTCACGGGATAAATCATTCCCACACTATATAAATGTATAATGTCTAATTATTACATCAATTCATCGTATTTTTTAATTTTGTCTTTTATAAATAAAATAATAAACAAGAGATGACATCTTCAAAACTATCAAAGTTAATAATATATTAAAAATTCTTACATTAAATATTATTGTTTATTTAGTAATTTAATTAAAATTTAGTAATGTTTAATTTGATTCAAGACTTTATTTATTAAACTGAAAGTCAATAGAAATTCATAAAAGAAATTTCCTTAAATAAATATATTCACTTAAATAAAATTTTAATAGTCACAAAAAATGTTCTATGATTTGAAATACTATAATGCAAGCTTTTTCTCATTTAATATATTAGATGTAATTGTAAATAAATTTACTTTTTATATATGCGAATGAAAAATTAAAAACTTATAGTTTATCAATCTAATATTATTATTAGTATAATTTTTAAATAATTATTGTAAAGACTAATTAAGTTTTTATAAGTCAAAATTCACTAACTTAATATATACATTAATAAAAACAGTGTAAGTAGTTTACTGGTGCCATTGATATCGATGTAGAAGTATTTATTAGCTTGTCAAAAATTATTTTTTTTCGAGATCTTAATTACATTAAAACTATTCCTCTTAATTTTTTTTATTAAATTCAAAATTTAAACGCGAAAATAAATTCTAAACTTTGAGGTCCAAAAGAAATATCAGTTGAACCATTGAACCAACGAACGTTGATTAGTAGTTTACTGTTTAACCATTCTAAATGGGTTTATTTTGATTTCTTTTTCTGTTTTTTTTTTTTTTTTTTTTTTTTTTTTTTTTTTTTTTTTTTTTTTTTTTTTTGTGGTGGAATAATGAGTATGTACTGTAGTGGGATTCAACTTTCCGAACGATATAGACTCTTATTGGTCGTTCAAATTGTCAAACCTTCTTTTTCTCTAATCAAGTACCTTTCTATATTTTTGGCCAGAATCAAGGAGCAATATTTTCATAATCTTAAACAGTGATTTTTATTCAGTTATTACACTTATCGGAAATGTAGGTTTCGGTTGCTTGAATTGATCATGCCTTCCTTAATTAATTGCCAGGGATCTTCTGCAATAAACGTTCCTATGTTTTCAGCAGTTACACCATGCCATATAGGGTTTGCTTTCAAAGTAATCAAGCACATTCAAGTCTCTTCAATTCTAGGGTGATTATTAAAAAAATGATATGAGGTGTTAATTTTTTTTATTCATTAAAATTATAATAACAACACTAAAATCTGAATCTAAAATTTTATAAATATCATTTTAATTCTTACTATTAAATTGACTCTAATAATTATATATGAGGTGTCGATGAATGTTTCGTAAACATGATTAAAAAAAAATGCATTGTAACATAGTTATCACCAATAACATGTCAAATCTGGCTATGCAGCTAAAATTAAGGTCCAACATGCTTGATATATATGTAATTAATTTTATTTTTATAATTATTGACCTGCTTTAATATAATTTATATTTAAACATAATTCTCAATATTTATCTTGTAGATAAATTTTTATGGTATTACGAGTTTATTATTTCCTTTAAGCACATTGATATTATTTCTTCTGACAAGTGTTTCAATAGACGAGTATCAGCCAATAATTATTGCGAACGTCATTTTAGATGAATATAAGAGCTACATATATATTTGCCACAAGTTTCTTTCCAATATAATATATTATTCCAAATTTAAACTTGGGGTCCGCTTGGACCATTGGTCTCTGCTAAACATGATGGTTGTTTTCAACTTTTAATGAATCACCCAGGTTTCAGCCTGCACTATACACCTATTAATTTTTTTACCAAACCTAGGCCTCTGCTTGTTTGGAACATACTGAAAATACCTTACATATATCTTTAGGACATAAATTATGTACTTATCATTCATCTTATTTTTAAGATTTGTTTTAGTCGGTTGTTAAAAAAAATGTTATAATCTTTCGCCTTTTAATAAGTCAAACGAGCAACCGATAATCGTGCAAAACAATTTTGAACATGTTGATAATTTGTTTCACCATTCTAATTGTTGTCATGGGTTGATATTATTATCTCATTGTGTATACGTATACAAACTCAGATTGCATATTTGGTTACTTTTGTGAGGAGACTGGAGAGCGTGGGTGTGTGTACGTATACATAAGCAATATACTACATATATAATTTAGTTTAATTGTATAACAAACAATAAATTATTATTTAGTGATACGTTTCAAATTGGTCCATTATATATTTTGACATCATAATTTTTTGGTTTGAAGCATTTTAAATTCATCTATAATTAGATTAGATATATTTTTTACACTAGATAGTTTATTTTAGAACCTATAATTAGATAGTTGAGAAAATGGTTTACAAGCAACTTGTTTATAGTATTTTCTTATATACCGGATAAGATAGTAGTGATTGTAACACCATATTTTTTTTTTAATCATGTATATTTGATATATATGTAATTAAGTATTTTATTTCGTGTTGTTTTGTTGTAGTAGTTTAAGTGTGTGAGAGTTGACTCAGAGAGGATTGGGGTATATATGTTTACAACTCTAGAATTTTAGAGAAAAGTTAGAGAGAAATGCTCTTTCAAGTCACTGGAGTTCGATCATCGATTTGATTCCATTAGAAGATTCATTTTCTTCCCATGTTGGCTAGTTGCATAGTAGAAACTAAGATTCAAGTTGAGGAATTGAGAATTTAAGTTGGTGCAGAGCTTTCAGGGTTAACTTGGAGTTGTTTCTTCTTTTTCTTCTTCTTCCTTCTTCCTTCTTCTTCATTCTCTTTGAATTCGAGGTAAGTGAAGCTGAAACTCATGTTTATGTTGATCTAGGATGTGTATATCGGTTGGAATTTGTTTGAAATTCATGGTTGTTTGAATTGTTGAGATGGAGTTACATGTGGTGGAGTGTTGGATTTTTGAACATGTTGAATAATTTTGGTGAAAGTGGATGATCTTTGATAGTATATTTGATATTTTGCTTAATTTTGAGTTGAATATGATGTATAGATGCATTCTATGGTATTACATGCTTGGGATTCTTTATTTTTCAAGTGATGGTGATCAGTCAATTCATGAGTCTACTACAAAACTCACTACTGCACCAGGCGCAACTTCTAGGTACTAGACGTGACTTCAACCAAGTGACCTCTGTCTTGTTGACGTCGGACGCAAGATTGGTCATGCTAAGCATGGAGAGAGAGAATCGTTTCGAGTTGATTTGGGATCGAGTGTCGGACTTTGCCATACTAGGCATGAATGTCTAAGAGTCTTTATACCTAATCCACACTTGGCATGATTGTATGGCGTAGCGTGAGTGAGGTAGGAAGCTCTCTGCCAATGGAGTCGAGTACAAGGTGTGTGGCACCAGGCATGGGTGGCTCTGAAAATTCTTGTTATTTGTATGATGAAATGGTGAACATGAATATGTTAGGTCAGTCTATTACATATTGTATATTGATTGGTGATAATTTTTCTATGTATGTTGATTAGGGATAACATATATAAATGGTTGTATGGTTGAATTGTTGAGATGCATTGGTATTATATAAATTGATTTTTGTTGAGTTATATATACATTAACCTAGGGTAATGCATATAGATGTATGTTGATAAGGTGTGATGCTAAGGGTGCTACAAACATTTAGGCATGATTTTGTTAACCTGTTGAAATGTTGACGCTGAGAGGGCTATAGGTATTTAGACATGTTGATTGAGTTAGGATTAAAGGAGAGGATGTTTTTGAAAGTTGAACATCTCATTGTAAGGATATCATTGTGGCACTTTGGGAGGTCAGTTATTGAAAAATTCTCCTTAAGTAAGTGTAAAACTCTTGGAGTGGATTAGTGAGTCTCCTCTAGATCCTTAGTCAATGTTAGAGTAAGATATAAAGTCGAGGGCTACAACATTTAACTGATTATTGGAGAGGTATGTGATATCATGATGATAGTTAGCTAGGATATAATCCATAGGGAACTTGGTTAATGCATGTCAATGTCGTGGTAAGACTATACCCAAGCTGTTATACCTAACAGTGGTACTGGAGTTTCCTAGTTTAAGTGGTGACATTAAGAAATCGTGTAAGGATTGGTATCCCAATTTAGTTATCGATCTAGTAGACCTGTAAGGTGTGAAAATGATAGGTTGGTTCAATAGGTCAAGTCACTTAAAATGCTTAAATGTTGTAGAAGATCTCTATAGGTGAATGTGTAATAATGATGCATTAGTTGAGGTGTAAGCATATGATGTGTTGTTTTGGTGAGTTCATATGCTTTGTGGATTGATTATTGAATGACATTAATATGGTGAAATATGATGTATCATAAGTTGTTAAGTTGCTTACTCTTTTAAGGTGTTGAATGTCATGTTGAGTTGTTTGTTGTATTGATATATCTTAGACTATGAAGTGTTTTTTGTATGACTTACATAATAATGTTGATTGTATAGTTGTATTTTCTTCTATACTTGGTATGTTGATCTATATTGCTATGATAGTGTTGCTTTTTGGTTGAGTTGCTTTAGTTTTATTATGTTGCATGTATCAAGTTATAAATGATGTTGAGCATATACTATGTTGCTTTGTGGAAATGTTGAAGATTGTGTGGTCTTACTTATGTGCCATTTTGATATGGTGGTGAATGTATGATTACGTTGTAAGTTCATAACATGTTGTGTGGTGTAGTTAA